AATGTGAAAAGTGTTACCCCCCTAAGAAAACAACCTAGCTACGCGCTTGCACCAAGGAGCTGTTTCAGTTTAGGTATTCTTTTTCAACAAATCTTTTCTAGAAATTAATAATAATTTTATTTTTTTACTACTAACATGAGAAAGCACCATTATTTACTCCATTCCTCTAATGAGAAGTAATATTTCTCACCCTAGGTAAATAATGATAATAAAAAAAACCTAGGTAAATAATGAAACTAAATTTCATTAGTTTCATTTTGTTAATTTGACAACTAGACTCCCAGACTACTTGATATTTTGAAATATTTGAAAAATAAGTAGGAAATAACTAAAGCTGGGTTTATCAAATCTAATCAAATCAAATATGATAATATATATCAGTGTAAACAGTAAAAATATATATTAACTAGGAAATTCAACACCGGCTTCAAAAATTATTAATTAATACCAATAAATCCATGTCATTAAAATATCAAAAATGCAATGGGATATTTCCTAGAATCATACCAAAATTTGACACGTGCCAAATTTTTACATAAATAAAGCCAGTCTGATTAGAAACACGCTCCAGTCTGCTTGATATTTCGAAATATTTAACAAATTGTTAGGAAATTACTTATGTCAAAATTAAAATTGCTAATATATTAATGTTAGTAGTAAAAAAAATTCTATATATACCTCGGCTGAGAAAGCTATTATTTACCTCGCACATTATATCCCTCGGCGCTACGCGCCTCAGGATATAAAGGTGCTCGGTAAATAATAGCTCACTTCTCACCCTAGGTATATAATGTACTATTTTTTTAATTTTCTTAGTAAAGGTAGGTGTTAAGATAACACTGAGGAAACAAATTAAAAATCCTACTAGTCTGATTTGATTTTTTTTTTGTTATACGTCTGTGTGGTCCCGTTTCTCGGTACATTTATTTCTCTTTTTAAACTTACTGGTAAAGATGCTAATGCATTTTTGTAATTAACCATATAAATTACACTTTGAACCATATGGAGAAAAAATATATCTAGATGATTATAGCTAAACGATACCAAATAAGGGTGAAAGTAAATAAAAGACTGAAGTTGAAAAAGCATAGGTACTTAATCATCTTGCTTGTTTGTTCTTTCCCTCCGGTTCGTGTTAACTAAATATTATTCCAGATGAATCTTAAGTGTACGCAGAGACAGATTGATTTACACTGTTTGGAAATATAGGTTCAAGGGTATGACATGAGTAACCTCGTGATTCCTACCTTCATGAATATCGAACTGTGACAATAATTTTGATTACTGATTTAATTTTTTTAATTTACTAAAATTCTTATATTATTGTATTATTATTATTTTTTTAATATGTCCGAATGAATCTAATGTTACAAGATTAATCAGCATTTTCAAAATAACCTAAATTACTACCAAATTAAATCTAGATTTCATCTATGTTAAATACGTAGATATATAACCAAGACAGATATGATTATTTACAAAATTTCTGAAGCCAACGCGGACGATCTTCGGCAGAAATGCAATATTTGGATAAAACATTGACGCCAAGTTTGCGATTATTTTAACTGTAGTAATGTATTTACGTTTGCTTGCAATACTGTTAAGTCTTTAAATTATCCAAAAACAAATTTACGTCTGACAACAGCTTAACTAGGCTCGACCGTTATTGTAGAATTTGTAAGTAGGGTCGTAGATTTGTTTCATTCATAAAATTCCTTCGATACAGTACTAGTCCAGGAGCCAGTGAATTTTTTTTCGTATCTATTTTCCCGGTCGGTGTATATTTAAATAATCTTTTCCCAGTGAACTGTATATTTTAAATGGAACGCCAGTCTCTATTAACAAAAGTAAGCCAATTGAATTTGCACGTTACGTCACAACGATACAGGTAAGATTGCGCACAAAGTGCCTTTGCAGGCATATTTTGGCCACTTCATGTATTTGTTTTTAAATCATGAGATATTAATATTTTTAAAGCTCAACAAGAAGAAAATCCAATTAACTCTTCCGTTATATTTTCCTAAAGGTATTTCCTTACCACTAACTAATAAATTTCACATTTTTTACCATATACGGGAATGTTTTAAAAATATGGAAACATTTTATATGGAATCAGAGCAGCCACCTATCTCAAAAAACAAAATTGATATGCAATAATATTTCTTACTTTAGGAATAACAAACGTTTGTTTTAAAAGTCATTTGTAATAGATAATAAACCAATATATAAATTTGATCAAATTTACCTTCAGATAGTCTAGAGGCTTTTTCCAAGAAGGATCTAATGGAGAGTGTTAAGCCTGATAGAAACAATAGATCTCTTTACACACACATATCAACTGGGAGCATAAAAATGTTAAAGTGACGAGCCCTAAAACCTTAATTAGCGGCATTAATTTCATTAGGGTAATACATTTACATTTAAATAAAACGCGCTAAGATAAATTAACTGTAGTTTTATTAGTAAAGTAGTAACATTAAAATTTTCCATAAAAACGACCCCATATCAAGCAACTTATTTTCAGTGATTTAAGTTATCGATTCAGGTTTTATTTTTGTTTTATTAAATTAAAAGTATTCTTTATCGTTCATAACAATTTAATAGATGAGAAATACATTTTTTACATTTTTAATGTCATTTACAGAAAATAGCTAGGTATGTATTTGTTTTTAAATAATTTGACAATTTATAAAAAAAGGGAGTAAAAGTGGAATGGCCAGCGGCCAGCAGGTCAATACAATGTAGTATATATTTCTATTATAACATAACTAAAATACCTACATCTTTTAATCATAAGGGCACAAGTTAAAAACCATTTTAATATATGTTTTAGAATGAAGTAATATTAACTTATTAAAAAGGTCTTAAAGTAATAGCAGGTACAGCATATATTTGAACGTTTCCTAGTTCCTGCTAGAATGAAGTCACTTTCTATGAAATGAGCACTAAAAACGGCATTTAAGGCAGTCAGCCTTTCAGTCTTAGGATTTCGTCCTAAAGCCCTCATCCAAGCTGCATACCTATTAAAAGTTATTCTAAAATTATATATAACTATATAGTTTTCGGTTCTGGTTGGCACAAAATAGGACACTTAGCCGACAATTTGGCTCAGATAGCTAAAACCCAACAGTAGCATCCCAAACCAGGACGTATTGCTATCCTTTCAAGTAAAAAATAACTAGTCATCCTTACCTGAAAAATAGAGGCATCTGACTTTTACACCACAAAACCATACACTTTTCCCCATTGTTGCAAGAACCCGATGACGATTAGGTAGATATCAACCAGAAGCAGGTACTTAATAGTTATGAAGCTTATTTTAACACAAAAACAAAGCACTAATCAAAAAGCAGCAATCAAATATAAATAGATCACACAATTAAAATTCAAATTAAAAACTATAACTATAAAAGCCAGATACTCTAATCATAAGATTACATCAATAATTCGTATGCATCGGAGTATCGTAAATGTCAAAAGTACAGTGTTTTCATGAAAATGTTTTTAGCAGCATTAGAGGACCATTTCTGTCACGCGCACCCAACGATATTCTCATTCCATTTAAATATACCCTTACACCTCTAGTATAAATGATTTGACCTTAGATACTAAGGATTTGACATAACGAAACCACAGTTTATAGCTAAAGAATCAGTTCGCTCACTCTGCGTCGGCAATTTTAATCTCAATGTTCCAGTTTATACACTGCGCAACTCGGATTTGTATCCCTGGCGTATACAGAATCAAATCATAACCAATACAATATATGACAACCGCCGATATTCAAACAGCAGTCTTCTGCGCATCCTGAATTTGTATCCCTGGAGTGGATATTATTTTGGAACATTCAACTGGTCCAAGTGAGCTAACTGATTCTTTTAAACTGTGACGAAACTAACAATAATTATAATTAATGTAGAGTAGGCTTGTGTCAAAACTGTAAAGAAATTATAAAACCAAACAGCAATAAGTGTATCGTGAATTCTAAATAAAATAATTATATAAAAGTGTAAAAGGAAATGTAATTTATCTTCCTATTTTCTTTGGTAATTTTTTCAATTAATATGTTTTATTTTTATAAATAAACCAACTGGTGAGGTGCTACATTGTAATATACAGTGAGCATCATAAGTCTTACCCCCCCCTAATCTAACTCGTTACTGGAGTTAGGAAAATCCTCGAGACACGTCGATTTTTGATTTCCACAATGTACATTTTTGTACGAATAGTTTACCCTTAATTATATCCCTTACTGGAGGAGAACAACCCTTTCGAAAAATTTAAATGGCATGGGGTGGTGAGTGATAGCTCATTTGAAAGGGGGTTTTATTCTCTATACAACCGTGCAAAATTTTTTAAAATGTTTAATTAAATAAAAAATAAAGTAATATACGCTATAAAAGCAAAGTATGATTACAATATTGTTACCCTGCAACCTGCAGTAGCCCGCGGCTGTTATAGGAAACAGCTACATGACACACTACTCCTGTTCTAGGCGAGATATCAGCAACCGTACAGATCACTTATTTCTGGTGACAGCGCACATACGGCAATTAGCTTGCCAAAAATAGTTGTATTTTTTAAAGTAATTTTTTTGTTTAAATTTAATTGAAAGATCAATGTAAATGATTGAATACTGCCAGGGTGTCACATTTCACATAGAAAATAAAAAATGTTTTATAAATTACATATTATTTAATTATCCAATTAAGTCGTCACGTTTTAATTATTTACAACAGTACTAGATTACGTGAAAATTATGCACATACATTTTGAGAATGCTTTACATCATAATTTTAATAATTAACTGAAATAAAAATAATGTACAGAAATTAGTTTTTTATTCGGAATTATCAGTCACTATCTGGATTTGTATGTACACAATCTAAACTTACTTAAAAAAAGTAACATACTTAGTACAGTTTCTGAAAAGCATTTATGTCGTTTTTTTTTGTATTTGTCGAAAAGATGTAATCACGGGGTCTGACGACAGTAGCATTCTATTCATTATGTCTCTGTTCGTTTCTAATCTCGATGTCTTCCATGAGAGATCCAACCATGGATGACAAAGATGACGAATTATGAATTTCATTCGTTTTTTTCTCTGGGCGCGGAGAAATTTTTTTAGCTAATTTCATAACTTGCGCCGAAGTTCTTTCTCCACTTTTAAACAGACTCATTTCTGGAGCTTTGCAAAGTGTTTCTTTGGACGTGCTTGACATAAGAGGTTCTATTTTTCTTAACTTCGACCGTACAAAGCTCTCATCGAAAGACTTTTTTGGTCTTCCACGTTTTTGATAATTTCTTACTTCTTCTGCTGTGGGTGTTGCAGAGATATTAGAGTTTAATCTAGCCATTAAGCATATTTTATTGGTGAATCTTGCGGGTGTACTTTTGCATACCTTCCACTTTTTCATAAGTTTTGACACGAATATCTTCATAGTACATTTAAAACGTTTTTCCGAGCACGTGGGAATTTGTGATGCATTAAAGTTGTTGATTATGTACTGTTCTGCCTTCTCAATGCACTTAATAGTCGACAGTTTAAAGAATTTATCTTTTTTTAGAACAGAAAAGAGTTCATTTCTAGTGATTGAGGCGAAATGTAGATCAACGTTGTTGCGACTACCTGTAAACAAAATAACTTGTATCAGAGGACAGTCGGGGACGCAATTTTTTTTATTCTCTTAAAGATAAAGATCTTATCTAACTATAACCTATAGAATGAGAGTGGAACTTTGCGGAACTTTTTTTGTAGCTTTCGCACAAATTAGCCTTATACAAAAAAGAATGAATACAATTAAGTCCACCAAAAGCTGTCGTTATTGATAGGCAAGAAACAAATAAATACATTGTCATTACTTAAATTAGAAATACATACATGAAGCTTCACAGTCCATCTTGAAAAATTTCTTGTATAACATCAGATAAACAACCACGTACTTTTCAAATAAGTGTTTGCATGCTATTGCATGCGTCAACCACACTTAAGACTGAAAGCGCACTCTTTCTACCCATATAACTCTCTCATTTATCCGCGGTTCTTTAAGGCGTACAACCAGGTAAAGAGCACGAATGTATAAAGAACAATAGTATGTAGACGAACATGTTTTTAAAATGTCAAATTTTCATTATTTGCGCACTCTATAGGGATAATTGCCGTGTGGGATATAAAATAAAAGTTACCCAACCATTCTATTCATGGTAAATACTAGAGTAAACATTAGAGCCACTGCGCATGAAACAGATATGGATACTGCAGGTCCACCAGCATGGTTTTTGAAGATGTAGGAGGAAAAGGAAAGGCGTAGGAAGGAAGAAGAGGAGGAAAAGGGAAGGCAAAGGAAGGAAGAAGAGGAGGAAAAGGAAAGGCATGGAAAGAAAGAAGAAGAGGAAAAAGAAAGGCGCAGGAAGGACGAAGAAGAGGAGTAAGAGGAAAAGGAAAGGCGTAGGAAGGACAAAGAAGAGAAGGAGGAGAGGCATAGAAAAGAAGCGATTGAAATTATGAACGGTTTGCTACAAATCCAGGAAACCTTCAAGCAACAGGTTGGTCAGCTTAACAATTTAACAATAGAGTAGATCTTTTGGCACAATAACAAGAACATCTAAAAAATCATTTAGAATAGCAGCAACAGAACAACAACAACAACAACAACAACAACAACAACAACAACAACAACAACAACAACAACAACAACAACAACAACAACAACAACAACAACAACAACAACAATAACAACAACAACAACAACAACAACAACAACAACAACAACAACAACAACAACAACAACAACAACAACAACAACAACAACAACAACAACAACAACAGCAACAACAACAAGAGAATATAAAACAACAGGAAAAGGCAAGAGTAGAGTTAGAAAGGTAAATTGGAGCTGAAATGGTCGAATTAGAAAGAAGAATATTCGTAGCCAAGCTTCGGTAAGTAACATTGAAGCTGAAAACACTACCTCATCTTCATCTACGACCGAACCGAGTCACATTCAAACCTCAGTTACACAGAACCATATTAGTAATATCCTTAATCCAACCAAGTCTGGCGGCCAGACGACATGGGAAACGTATAGACTTCAATTTGAAGCTGCAGCTAGAGCCAATGGCTGGGCAAAGAAAGAGATGGCGGCTTCATTGATAGTGTCGCTGCGTGGACAGACCCCAAGAGGATCCCAGCTATTCATCTCTCGTCCATGCTTTGGAAACAAGGTATGCCTAAGAACATTTGAAGCAGGTATTTCAAAGCCAGTTAAAAGTTCGTAGTCAGAAACACAACGAGAGTCTACAAGAATTTGAAGCCGATATAAAAATATTGCTGCATCTGGCCTATCCACAAGCGCTCAGAGATTTCTTAGAACAAATCGGCATACAGGCATTTATTGATGGACTACAGGATGTGGAAATGCAGCAGGCTCTTCGGCTACACCACAAGACGTTGAGTGAGACACTGATTCCAGCCCAGGAATACGAAGCAGCAAAAACTATATCTAGATCTTCTCGCGCAAAATTGAGAGAAATTAGATTGCAGGAAGGTGAAGAGGTCATTACTAATACTATTCTTTAACCTACCCTCTAACAAATCTTAAATATCCTGCAAAATATGCAACGAAATAGCCAAAATGAGAGCAGAAGGTGCTTCAATTGCGGAAGAATCGGACACCTTCAAAGAATCTGTCAAAGCAGGGCTCACTATGAATCGAGAATCGGAGAATGATGCTAGAAATACACCTAAATCAACCTCCCGAAGCCCGTCACGAAGTCCAACAAGAAATAATTACAGCAGATATGTCTTCTGGAGAAGCCGGTCACCCACACCTAGCCGGCTTTCTAGCAATAACCAGGGAAACGAATAAAGGTCGACACTACTGGGCAGGCGACGGCTGTAACAGAGGGCCCCCAAAATTCGCACTTACACCTTAAGTAAAAACGAACAAAATCTATTTGGCAAGGGGTATTTCGATAACTTAAAAGGCACCTTCGTCCTTGATACTGGTGCAACCAAGTCATTCATTCGAACAGGAATCCTGTATCGAAAACCACGACCAACTTGAAGAATCTTAGTTCTGCGTAACAATATTTACTACACATTAAACACAATCCTAGTATTGTTCCTTATAAATAAGTTTAAAACAAATATGAATACACTTAAACTAACCAATGAACACATTTTTCTAATATTGACATATAAAGTGACATTTTTGTATTTGCAGCAAGTGTCGAAATGATCTACTTTATGCCACCAGTTGCATAATGTTGAACATTATGAAACATTAGGGCAACGTTTCATTTTCAAAACACAATCTGTCACAGAGAATAAATATTTTATGAATATAACCTGTAAAATTGAGTTTATAAATTAGTTTTTTTTTAAATACTGTTGCAGCCATATTTTTTTTTTTAAATCTACTATAGAACTAGTACCTTTGCGTGTTTAAGAATTCTTTGTGAAATTCGCATCTCCGGATAGTAGGATAGACACCAAATTGTAAAATTCTTTACAGCCAAAAAAGGAAGCTCTTAGAAATATGTATGATATCTTTCTATCAGTTGGAATATTCGGCTGCAGTTCTGCTACAAGCGCATCTACATTTTCGACATTAACTGTGATAAACTGAGAACATAGATATCATTGATCAAATTTTGAAACACACAGTATACTGTCAGTGTTTTGTTAATACGTTTTCTCAATCCAACAGATTTTTTCGCAAATTTTATGCAGGTAATATTTCTTTACCCACCTACAATTCATATTGTCACGAGAAACAACAAATATCTATATAGCCTTACGACTGTCTGCAATACCCACAGTGAAAAAAAACTTTTCTCTAGTCTCTATGTACACTCTTAATCATTTTAAACCGAGAGTAAAAAAGGAAAAGAGGCATAAGAATACGAGTCGAATGGTACCGAGACAAATCTAGGAATGGCTCTTCATTAAGTATCGGTAATTAAAATGTCCACCGGATAAAAATGGAAAATGTATGATAATTTCAATGAATATTTATCTTAATACCAGTCAGAAATGTCATTTCTTTTGTTGTCTAATAACAATATTACCCGATGCCTGGGACGATATCCCCGAACAAGCATATAAAAGAGGGGAGAAAGGGTTTAGGCCACACAAAGTTCTGTATATATACAGTATGGTACAAAAAAAAATAATAATAAATTTATTATTTATATTATAGATCATCAGCTTCTTTGTGGCAAACTTAAATATTTTAAAATTAAAGTGAAATGGATACAGTGTGTAAAATATGAACAATTTTATTAAAAATTAGGCTGAGTGCTTTCGGCTTGCAAAATCATCATCAAATCCACCTTAAAAGGCGTAACAAATTAACAATTGAAATATTAATTGATGTGAAAAACTTACGTCTACGATACCTTCCACGTGAAATCAATGACAAGATTGAGAATTAAAACAACAAAAATAATAAATTGAAGTTCATAAAGGCTCCAAATCCACGTAAATCCATTGAATAGGTATAGGTATAAAACGACGCAACAGGACAGGGATTCTTATGTGCGTACTCAACTCGTAACGAATCAAATAGAGAGAGACATTACATACAAATCGCATTCTATGGAACGAAGATACTCGTCTCAACACGTGAAGAGAATTCCAATACAGGAGACAAGCATACCTATTTTGACATTTGACAGTAGACATAAGACATAAACAGACTAACACAGGTCAATAACAACTAGATTAAAGCGTGGTCCTGGGGTAAAAAAGAAAAAATATATAAATAATGAAAGATGAGGAGGAATATACTCGGTTTCTAAGAATATAAACCATACAGAGGTCCCAAGAAATCTAAGTACATTTGGTTTTAGAAAACTATTGTGCATCGGAATTTGAAGAGTAGAATGAACGGCAATGACTCTAGATCCATACTAGGCCAGATAATTTGAAGACGTGACTAAACCATAACCCGTACATGGTACCTAGTCGAAGAAAGAAGGGGAAATTAGAAAGGACGGAGGAAAAAAAATAGTTTTTAGAACAGTGGAAAAGTTATAATAAAGACACATTACTACTTAGAACTTAGATACTAGGAACCAAGAAAGTAAAGTAAAGACACACAGCTCTGTGCTGAATTGCCTATTTTACGACTGGGCAACCATAGTGATTCCTAAAGTGTTTTAAATAAAGGATTATAATTACAAGTGAATTTGAGTATTTAGGCAATTACCAGAATTCATATTCATCTCACGAAAGATCTCCAGAATCCAGTTCCTACAGTAGGTCCATTTTCTTAAACTTTTTGACTGGAACACTATGTAAAATTTTGCTATGTGACGTGGGAGGGAAGCCATTATTTAATTTAATATGATGGCCGAAATTAGATCATCCAGGTCTAGATAGGTGTTCCTTAATCCGTGTCTCTAGAAGTCTGATAGTTCTACCGATGTAGGTAGC